GGGTCACCACAACATGAGGAACTGTATTAAGGGGTCGCGGCATTAGGAAGGTTGAGAACCGCTGCTCTAGATAAAGAGACTGCTAGTGCCATCCAGGGGCACAGTATACCTGTGGGAACTATTTGGCTTCAGGTACTTGGCAGATTAGTTAAGATACAGGAAAATATGAAGAAGAAAACAGGAAAACCCTCCTGCCCTGGTGCAGGTGTTTTTAAGGATGGTTTTTTGTAAATAAAGTTTATTTTTCAGTTATTTTTTCATTATATCTTTTCTTAATGCTGCTGCTTTCCCCATTAAACAGGTATATACTTACCACTCAAATTCTACAAATGTTAACATGTTGCTACAGTTGCTTTATTACATATTTATTCATCAATTATCTTATTAAACTTTACTTTTTATTAATAGTTTTAATTAAAAAAGTGAGATAAAGAAATATTGACTAATGCATCAGATAGAATTTAGAACTGCAGAAATTATGGATGTAGTCAAGTCTTAAATAATTTGGAGGATGGGGGAGGTATTGGTTTTCCTTAGCACATGAGCACCTAGAATTAACAACAATTCATTGTAAGTCACTTTGTATTGTTTTATTTCTCCAGGCACTGGAATGTTTCTGCCAGGCAGCGTCCGAAGTGGGCAAAGAGGAATTCTTGGATCGGTTGATCCGATCAGAAGACGGGGAGATTGTGTCCACCCCCAGGCTGCAGTATTATGATAAGGTACCTTATGCCATTGTTTGGCCCATCTTACACCACCCTGTGTAGAAATGTATCGGAAATACAGTGCTTGGGTATTGTTGGAGAATAATATAAAAATTTAGGGCCAGCCGAGTGGCTCAGTTGGTTAAGAGCTCGCTCAAGAGCATGAGCTCTGAGCAACAGGGTTGCCGGTTCGATTCCCAGCCCAAGCTGAGCTGCTGCCGAGCTGCCAACAGGTGGCAGGATGGCTCAGGTAAAAAAAAAATTTTTTTTTAATTGTTCCCTAAACTTCCAAGTAAAGAGAAGATGGGTTTACCTAGAGAAGTTGAAGAAACATATTTTTTAATTAAATTTGATAAATGTTTTTAACTTAAATGAAACATACCCTTCATGGAATCATTTTGTTAGCCCAGACATGATTAGAATTTTATTACTTAATATTAGTCTTGCCAATATCTCAAAGAATTACCTTGTAATGCAGTATTTAGCCTTAGTTTATGATTTGGCCCTCGGGTATTCCTCCCTCCCGACCTTTTTTCTACCACTCTTTCCCCTGGTAACTCAGCTGTAGTGATTGCGACCTTCTTACTGTGTCATGCAAGCCAAGCACATAACTTTGTTTTCTGACCTTTCAGCCTGGAATGCTCTTCCTCCAGATAGTCAAGTTTGTCACGCCTTCATTTCATTCAGGTCTCTGCTCACGTGTCACCTCCTCCCTGCCTTGCCTGTGTAGAATGACGCCTGTGCTCATGGCCTCACATGTGCTTGTTTTCTCTCTCCCTCAAGTGCACTCATGCAGATTGAGACACTGGGCAAGTCTCCTTGCCTACTTTGTTTTTCTTCATAACATTTAACTGTGCTTGATGTTATATTTTGATATCCATGTGTTATTTGTTATCTGAATTTCCCACCAAAAAGTAAATGCGACCAAGTGCAGGCTTCACTGTTTTGTTCTTTGCTTGTAAAAGAGATAAATGAAACAGATTTGTAGTTCTTAATAACCCTCCACCATCTTACTAATGAGAAAATTATTTTGAATTCTAAGGATTTTTAATGAGGCCAGATGGATTTGAGGAATCGATAAACCCCTGAAATTATGTGCAAAATGTTGTTTGTATTTTTTCTGCCGAGAGCCTCCATAGCTTTCAGCAGAAGAAACTTAGTGATTCAAAAATTTGAAAAATCACTGCTGCTCCACTAGACCCCAAAGTGGGACTTAGAAAGAAAATACTAGAACTCTTACTCACAGAAGAGATAAATCAAGAGGTGCCAATGTTTAATATAAGGGTTGACTCTGGTGCCCTTACTGGTCCTTGTACAAGGTCACCTATCACTTAGTCTCAAGGTGGGCATCTGAGGGAAGAGTGAGAGTGTCACAGCTAGGGGCAGGGGTGCCCAGTGGCACCTTCGTCCATTTAATTTCAGTAGGTTATGTTTGCCTGGTTAAATTGATTTACACATTATATTGCTTAATTTTAATGAAAATCGCCTTTACAATATGCACATGGCTTTTAAAAGCTCGTGCAAAGAAGTCACATTGAAGATAATACTAACAAAGTACAAGCAAATAAAGGAAATTTGGGACTTGCACTACAGGTATTTCATCAGCCACACTGCAGGATAAAGACAGTGACAGTCTAATCAGATCGGACAAGAATCAGCCAAGAACAAGTGAGCTTTTCAGGAATGCTATTTTAAAATCTGAGTAACAGCCTTTTGAGCATTTTGACCCTTGCTTCTGCTCGGGGCCGCTCCAAACTCTTTGGAGTGTACTTTTTCTTTTCTAGTAGTGACCCTTGAGCCATTCTCTACTTTTTCTCTACTGCTCGGGCCCACTTCTGCTTCTTTGAAATGTATTTTTACTTCTAATAAACTCCTTGAAAAATAAAAAAAGTAAAACAATATAAAAATAAAATAAAATCTAAGTAAGTGTCCCTTAAATTGAAATGTCAATTCAAGATAGGATTAAACCATGAAAATTACCGAGACATTAAGTGTCCCAATCACCTGTGGTAGAGTATAAATTGGTTACAACCATTTTGGGAAACTCAGTAAACTAGCGCCAATCATTAACATACCCTATGACCGAGTAATTTCAATCCTAAGTATACCTAGACAGGTGTACATATTTACCAAAAGAGATTTATAATGTGTTCCAAGCCGCAGCATATTCATAAAAGTCATACGCCAGGAACAGGAAGTGTTCATTAGTAGAATGGATCAATGAATTATGGTATATTCTTTCAGTGAAATGAATTGCTGCGTGTAATAACAGGTCAGTCTTACAAACATGTTAAGCAAGAGAAGGCAGACGCAAAAAGATATATAGCGTAAGATTCTGTTTCCATGAAATGAAAAACAAAACTATTAAAAGTCAGTAGTGGCTGGAAGGAGTCACACGGGCTTTCGAATGCTGATATAATTCTAAATGTGAGTGCTGGGAACATGGATATGTTTCCTTTGTGAGCAGTCGACCAGCTATGTACTTAGGATTTGTCTACATTTCTAAATACATGTTATATTTCAGTGAAAACTATAACCTTAAAAAAAAAAAAACACTAAGCATGCAGAACAAAAAATGTTTTTGTACTGTGAATAAAGAAAAGAAAGCAGGTAATAAATCAGTACTAATAAAAATAACTTTAAACTGTTTTTTATCTTTACTTCATTCTTTATAAATTTATATTTTGAGTGTATGTTACACATACATATTAGAGAGATGTGTGTCTATAAGTAACTGTGCATATGTCTGGAGTGGTGTACACAGACATTGTTAGGGTGGACAGTTTCAAAAGTTTAAAGAGCACTGTTCTGTGTTGAATTAGAAATGGATTATGTCAAACAACGTATTCTCTTCCGGGTTTTTACAAGACAATGATACTAATTTATTCACTAGGCTTTAAATTCATCTATAACCTAAACTGTTCATAGGAAAAGTTAGTAGTGAAATTGTATCTGTCCCTTCATTCAATAAATATTTAGTGAGAGCCTACTGTGTACTAAACACTGAAGATAGAGCTGTGAACAGAAAAAGACCAATAGAAACTCTTCCAACAAGCCTAGTATTTAATAGAATCTAAAGGAAAATCTTAAATATTGACCAAAGAATCCTGTTCATCTTGTTGACACGTTTGACTTAATCTTTATCTTGCTTCATTATCTAATTGATTTTAAATCATATTTCAATATGAAGTATACTGCCATATTAATCGTAATGGAAATTTCTTCTGTTCCTCCTTAGGTTTTGCGTCTACTCGATGTTATCGGTTTGCCTGAACTGGTTATTCAGTTGGCTACATCAGCGATAACTGAAGCAGGTGATGACTGGAAAAGCCAGGTAAGAACTAACTAGTGGGTCATCGGGAAAGTCATGACGTATTTTTCTATGTTTTTCAATGCAAAAATGCATCATGACTTTCCCAACGACCCAATATAATCTAGTTATTTCTCATAGGGTTTCTCATTGATGTGATATTTTAATCTCTGTTGTTCTTTTTCCCCCAATTTTTGACATTTAGGCTACTTTAAGGACATGCATTTTCAAACATCATCTGGATTTGGGTCACAATAGCCAAGCGTATGAGGCCTTAACCCAAATTCCTGATTCCAGCAGGTAGTCAGTCTCAGTCTTTTTCAGAGAAGGTGATTGGCCAGCCCTGTTTAATCCACTGAGGTAGTTTATCCTCATATCTCTTTCTTTCCTCCCAGACAGTTAGATTGTTTACGGCAGCTGGTGGTGGTTCTTTGTGAACGTTCGCAGCTGCAGGATCTTGTCGAGTTTCCCTATGTGAATCTAGAGAATGAGGTAATTTTATTTTTCCACTGCTGACTGCACACAGCTGTGGTGGTTGTCATGCTGGCCACTAACTTGGATGTCTCATCACTTCCCCATCCTTAGGTTGTGGGCATAATTGAATCACGTGCCCGAGCTGTGGACCTTATGACTCATAATTACTATGAGCTTCTATATGCCTTTCACATCTATCGCCACAATTACCGAAAGGGTGAGTTGAAGTAAACAGTATGAATTGTAGTGAGCCTTATCGGTTTAATCATGTTTTACAAAAATACTATGTTTGGCTTATGTAATTTTTACCTTGTTTTTATCATTGGATGGGTATTCTCTACAAGCATTTGGGGAAATTATGTTTAAGGACAAGATTAGCTTCACCCCTTTGGAGATTACCTATTAGCCTTAAAGATATGCACTCATTCCATTCTAGAACATTCTTGTGTCGTTTCCAGTGAGATGACATTCTATGTGTATTTTCTATTCGAGTTTAAAAGACACTTTTTCATGAAAGGCACCTTGAACTTGTGGCTGGTTTTGAGCTCCTGTGCCTTTTGCTGTCAGCCTTCTCTCTTTCCTTATTTATTTTTGCTGATCCTTTTAAGAGTAAGTTGCAGACATTGTGACTCAATGCAAAAATACTTCAGATGCATCTCCTAAGGACTTTTTTTTTTTTTTTTTTTTTTTTTTGCTGAGCCATCCTGCTACCTATTGGCAGCTTAGCGGCTGCTCAGCTCGGGCTGGCCTCGAACCGCTGTTGCTCAGNGGCTGCTCAGCTCGGGCTGGCCTCGAACCGCTGTTGCTCAGAGCTCAAACTCTTGAGCGAGCTCTTAACCAACTGAGCCATTCGGCCGGCCCTTAAGGACTTTTTTTTATATAACCTTAATACAATTATCAAATTAAGGAAAAGTAATTAATTTCATGCATTAAATGTAGTGCTATGATCTGATGTGCTGTTCATACTTAAATTGTGCCAGCTGTCATATGATTTTTTTTAATAGCACATTCCTCCCATACTGTGCTCACCCCCGATCTAGAATCACAGATTGCATTTATTTGTCCTACCTCTTTGATCTCCTTTAATCTGAAGCACTTTTTTTAGCCTTTTACCTTTGAAGACACTGATATTTTTAAAGAGTACAGGTCAGTCATTTTTAGAATGTGTCTTAATTTGGATTTGTATGATGACTGATGAAGTCTTTATCAGAACTGCTAAAACCAAAGAATTACATGTCTGTTTCAAGATCGTATTTTGCAAGATAAGCATTGCGGTTCCCCTTTGGAACATCTAACATTTTTATACCATTTTCCCTCAGAATTTTTCGTTAGGTTTCTTGCTGATTTTCATTGGAAAAAATGGTTGGAAGTTCTTTGTAGGCATGTTCTTAATATTTCTAGTGGCAAAACATGTTTGCATGTTCTTTATTTTCTTGAATTATACAGAAAGGGAAATATAGGTTAGATATCTCCTACTGTTTGCTTTCTCAATAACAGCATCCATTACATCAACCTGATTGAGATCAGTTTAGCTAGATTAATTTTCAGGTCTTTGGATGTCTTACAAACAGAATGTCTTACAAAGCTCAGACACTCAGAAAGATTTGTGGAATGAGAATAGTTTCATTTGGGGGCAGCCGGTTAGCTCAGGTGGTTAGAGCGCAGGCTCATAACACCAAGGTTGCCGGTTCGATTCCCACATGGGCCACAAGACCTGCACTCTCCACAACTAGATTGAAACAACTACTTGACTTGGAGCTGATGGGCCCTGGAAAAACACACTGTTCCCCAATAAAATAAAATTTTACAAAGAAAAGAAAATAGTTCCATTTGAAAACTGAAAGAATTTTTAAATGCTGTTTAGTTTCTGAAGTCCCATGCTGTTTCAGAAAAATGTAGCTTTCAATATCTTATTCAACCAGTGTAACTAAAGTATTATGAAAATAAGAGCCTGTGTTCTTGAGCAGAGCATCCAAACATTTCTTGGTATCAGAATCCTGGGTGGGAGTAGGTGACAATTTGGCTGGGATTAGCTCTCTAAGCCAGTCTTCCATCCTGCCTGGGCATGTAGTATCTAAAAGTCAAAAGTAACATTTTACATAATTTTTTTTGCTTTTTTTGTGTGTGTGGTTTTAAATTAAACTCAATTTTATTTTAAACTTTAATATTTGATAAGTAAAGCAAATACTTTCTGCATATCTAATGAAACAAACACATTTTTGAAATTCTAATGTCTGATTTATTATTGCCTCATAGCTGGCACAGTGATGTTTGAGTACGGAATGCGTCTTGGCAGAGAGGTTCGAACTCTCCGGGGACTTGAGAAGCAAGGCAACTGTTACCTGGCTGCTATTAATTGTTTACGACTTATTCGTCCAGAATACGCGTGGATTGTGCAGCCAGCATCTGGTGCAGTGGTATGAAAACTTTCCATCCTAGAATTGGGGATCATTTATTTGGCTTGGTCCTTTCAAAACTATTACGTCATTTTGCTTCATTTCATTTAAAATTTCTACTGGGGTGTTTGCGAACTTAATCTATTTTTGCAGCAATTCAATTGTTATGTATTACTACCCCTTTAGTTCCCAAGTTTAGAATTATTGTAGGAAGAAGTATTGCAGAGTAATTTTGGAATTAGACCAAATTAACTTTAGGTAAATTAATCTTTTGCTGTCTGGTTATCCTCTTGCATAAAATAGAGATAATAATAATGTCTCCCTTATAGGATTGTTTGGGTATTAAATGAGATAATTCATGTAGAGATTGCTTAGAACTGTGACAGTGCCTGGCCTGCAAAAAGTGCTCAATAAATGGTAGTTGCTACTTTTATTTCATCATTTTTGTTAATTCTGTGTACACTTACTATTTCAAAAGACATGGACTTTGACTTTTTTCTGTCATGCTGATAGGGTCATTCTTATATGCCCAGCTACTTATATTGTATAGTTCCAGCATTTACTAGGCTGTTTCCCAGGTTTATGGATGGGAAATATAACTCTGGAACCAATGAATGGTGAGTGTTTTATATGGAGACCAAATCCACGTCCCTGGACTCAGTAGCATGTTAGCTAAGTGAGCAAACTTGGCAAACACTCCACTTTTTTGTCTGGTAGTTACAGAATCTTTGTAAGAAGAGCTGTGCTAGTTGAAATAAACCATAACTCATGTGGAGAGAATTTAAGTATGGAAGCTCCGGATCACAGTTAGTGATATCAAAATAAAATAGTAGTTTTTCACAGTTAAATAACTTGTTTGTCTTTTCAGTATGATCGCCCTGGAGCATCTCCTAAGAGGAATCATGATGGAGAATGCACCGCTGCCCCAAGTGAGTCTGGGGTCTCACACTGATTCTTTGCTAGACAATAATTACATTGCTGTAGCATAGTAGTAGCATATATATATATATGTGTGTGTGTGTGTGTGTGTGTATATATATATATATATATATAGAGAGAGAGAGAGAGAGAGAGAGAGTAGTAAAAATAGTTATACTATACTACATATTATATATGTATTGTATTTATATTGTTGTAAAAATATTATAAATTTTTTTGTTTTTAGTGTGTTTTCAATATTTTAACCTGCTAAAGGGGTTGGTCTGCTAGCCCTTTGAAAACTTTGTATGGCTGTATGAGAAATGAAAATGCTTTAAAAAGAGTGTGTTTTTGTTGCTTGTTGTATTTCAGTCAGCTTTGTACCAAACCTTTATTTTATCAAAAGGCTCTTTTGGTATTTCCATGGAGGCATGATGCCCTTCCTCAAAGAGCCTGGGCTCTAAGTTGGACACACCTGGTTTTAATTCTGCCTCTCTCTCACTTTGGGCATGTTCCTTTAGAACTGGCAGCGATAACAGAATTTAATGGTTATAAGAGCTCAATGAAATTATATGTAAAATACCTTGTAAGCACTTCCTCAACTGCAGCTGTTTTGTTAATAGAGTACTGCTTTGATTTGACTCAGTTTTACACATGAAGCAGGGATGGTGCTTTATTTCTTAAGTTAGCTTTTATTGAGCCTCCTGTTTCTTCCCCATCTCCCCAATTTAATGCCTTTGGAAATTAAATTGAATGTTACTTCACGTTTAGTAGAAATGGACAGGTTAAGTTAGCCTAGTGGGCACTTCCTTTGTACTTTGAGAATGGAAAGTGTTTGTCTTTGGCTTGTAGCAAATCAGCAGATTGAAATCCTGGAGCTGGAAGACCTGGAGAAAGCATGTTCCCTGGCTCGCATCCGCCTCACTTTGGCTCAGCATGATCCGTCAGCCATTGCAGTTGCAGGTAGGACTCAGCCATCTCCATACTGACAGCACATCCTAGGGCCAGGCAGTGGGCCTGGTACGCTACATGGGCATTGTCATTCAGAGTCACTCATCTACAAGCAGTCTTTGGGCTCATTTGCATATACCTTCGGTTGCACTAACTAGCACTTTTCTGTTTCCACAGGAAGTTCATCAGCCGAGGAGCTGGTCACGCTCTTGGTTCAGGCTGGCCTTTTTGACTCTGCCATCTCACTCTGTCAGACTTTTAAGCTCCCCTTAACGCCAGTCTTTGAGGGACTTGCTTTCAAGTATGTATGCCATTATCTTTTTTATAATCTTAAATTTCTAATGCAAAAATAACTATTGCTTAGTGTGCAGCAGTGATCACATGAGAAGCCAGCTGTGTTTAAAAGAAGTGTTTTTCTTGAGTCCACGCAAGATTTTTGTTTTTTTGGTTGATTGTGGCTTTTTGTTTTTAATCTTGATTTGTAGCTCCTCTTGAGCAATCAGAAGATCTGGCATTCCTGGACCCACATTCCCACATGACAGTAGATAACCTGGGTTAAATAGTGGTGTCCATTTTAGACAGAGCACATGTTCCCTTCTGTCCTTTCGGACATCTATTGGCTCAGCCCCTGTGAGCATTATGAAAAAGTACTCCCTATTGAAGTTACCTTACACCTAGATATTAGTCAAGTAGTTCGTGAATTGGAAATATTTTTATACTTCCATAATTTTTCATCATCAATTTTCTTTTGGAAATGAATTATCTCTAAACACTTATTGATGGCTTTGTGGGTCATTCAGTTGTATGGCTATGAGAAGTGAGAAAGGCCAATACCTCAGCAGTGAAATGGACAATAGACTAGAATTAAAGTTGTCGTCTTATCTCTAGTTTTAGTAACTAAATAATGGTGCTTTTCAGCAAATTATTTTATTGTGTGTGGAACCTTTTTTTTTTTTTGCAGATGCATCAAATTGCAGTTTGGAGGAGAGGCGGCACAAGCAGAAGCCTGGTCCTGGCTGGCAGCCAATCAGCTCTCATCAGTCATCACCACGAAGGAGTCCAGGTACAGCCCTCGTGTTCATCTGACCCTGCAGGGTTTACCCCCAGATACTTCCCTTGTGCCCCCAGTTAGCGTCTACCTGACTGTACTTAAGTGTGTACAGAATCCTCTAACAGACTTTCCTTCCTTGAACTACATTTAAAATTTGTATTGTGCAGCTTAGCACTTTAGAAATGTAGCATTTTACAGTTTGGACATCTTCAACTCCTACATTGGCAACACCAGAATCACTATTAAAATGCAAATTATGAGCTATCACCCTGGCCTTCTGGATCAGAACTTCTGCATGATTCTAGTGCTTGATCAGGTTTGGAAACAGCGATCTGAGCTGTTCTTCATATTTTAGAAATTCAGAACAAAGACATTAAGTGAATTGTGTAGTCAAGTATGATGTGATTAGTGGGAGAGAAATACAAGATCCCAGGCCATCTAGTTTCTAGTACTAGCCCTAGGGCACATTGACCCTAATGATATCAGTTGCCATTTAGCAATATGATCGTTCAGTTGTGAGCTCCTAGGATTTTTCCCTTGTTCACACATGCTTTGAATGGAATTATAAATATCTATTACGTATCCGGACCTCATTACTTCTTTCTGCGTTTATCAAGTGCTACAGATGAAGCCTGGCGACTATTATCAACTTACCTGGAAAGGCACCAAGTCCAGAATAACTTATATCACCACTGTGTGATCAACAAGCTCTTAGCTCACGGGGTGCCTCTGCCTAATTGGCTTATAAACAGCTACAAGGTTAGTGGTGTCTTCACTTGGAGAGAACGAGAAGCTGATCTTTGTCATCCTGATCACTTCAGGAGATGATTCGAAAGAAAAAGATAGACTGATAATTTACGGAAATACACTGACTGACATACTTCAGGCAACTTATCAGTCTTAGCTAAAAACAAAATGGTGTAACTTCAATTCCACATGAAGTACTAGGTGATTAGATTTAAAGTTATAAAATACGTGTATATATATATATATATATATATATATATATATATATATATATATATATATATGTAAAGAGTTCTATAGTTTAGTGATGAATGTCAGCATGAGGCTGTATTCACTTTTCTCTTACCCTAAGTTAAATACAAATTTGATTCAGGCTTTTAAAGTTGGTGATTCTTTTAACTTCTTTGCATTTGTTATTCATATATTTCTGGTATTCAGTATTTCTTGGAAGGTCTGTTGACTTTTACTACTGTGGAAAAGAACTAAAACATGTCTTAGATCACAAAACAGGGGAGGGAGGGCACTTAACAGATAGGGCCTCACAAGGTGCTCAAAGGGTAAGCCAACCCCTATCCCAGGATAGCTAAACCAAGACAAGTAAACCGAGGTGCTCATTTATTCATATTGAGAAATATTAAGTCCAGGGAATCAGGCGGTCCACATCCTTAGGTCATTGCCCAGGGAAGATGGAAACAGGTAGATGTTCTTACTCACCGACTCTTTACAGAAGGTTGATGCCGCTGAGCTGCTCCGTCTGTACCTAAACTATGACCTTTTAGAAGAAGCTGTGGATTTGGTTTCAGAATATGTGGACGCTGTTCTGGGAAAAGGACACCAGTACTTCGGAATTGAGGTGGGCGTGTGTGCACATTTTTCCTAAATCGGTGTAAAACCGGGACCTGAAAAAAATTAAATTATAGAATAGCGGATTTAACCTGTCCTATTAGTAGTTGTACAGCTAGTTTTCTCTCAGATCCGGATTGGCCCTCTACAGTTCTCCAGTTTCCTGTTTATAAAATGGGAATACATTTCATTTTTCTCCATCAGAGGAATGTGGCTTTAGTTAATATTTGGAGGAAGGCGGTAAATAAGAACAAAACGGTATTTTGTGTGTGCTGAAGACTGCTGCGTCTCTACCAGCGTTTTCTCATTTCATCCTTACAGCAGCCTATAAGGGATTGTTTGAAGCCCCCCCCCCTTTTTTTTTTTTCTGTTTTTAACCCATGAGGAAACAGAGACTCAGAAGTAAGGAAGTTTCACCAAGATTGTTCCCTCGGGTCTAGCATTCTAAGACACTTCCTTATGACTTCAGAGGATCAGTGCGCAGGAGCATTCGAGTCGGCAGCTGCAAGGTGATACAAGTTGCCAAAGCTCAGAGAGATGGTAAATAGAAGAGCCAGGTCTAAAATCCAGGTCAGGTTAACTACAGAGCCAAGCTCTTAAACTCTCAGGAAAGTATTCAGAACTTTGGAAGTGGAGCTTTTCTTTTCAAAAAAATTTTTTTCCAGATAATTTGAATCTAAATTTCAGACTGGGAATGGTATCATTTGTTGACAATTTATAGAAGTTTTGCTGAGTGTGTTTATCCTTAATAGGATAAACTTGGGAGCCTTAGGGCTCCGTTTTAAGATATGAGATGACATGAATTTAAAAATACATTTGATTAAGAAAAGGACAAGTTCCCCAGTTGAAAAGAGAAAGGTGAGGGGTTCTAACTCTGTGTGTGTGTGTGTGTGTGTGTGTGTGTGTGTGTGTGTGTGTGTGTACTCATGCACACATACACACAATTTCTTATAATGAAAAAAATAATAAAGCATTTTATGTTATCAAGGCCTGTGAAAGTAACTGCCCAGAAGAAGAAGAAATGGTCCACTTTTCAGGTTTTCTTCAAGTAATAGATATTTTTCCTTACAGTTTCCACTCTCCGCAACAGCGCCGATGGTGTGGCTCCCATACTCTTCTATCGATCAGCTTCTCCATGCTCTGGGAGAGAACAGCGCCAACAGCCACAACATTGCCGTAAGACAGCCTTTCTTTTCTAAGCTCTTGCACTAACCGGCACACCTGCCAGCCTGCTTTTCAGTTCTCAAGGACTGAGGGGAGGGCAGAAGCCATATGTTGCCCTTCACGTCCTGCCCCAATCGTTAAAGGAGACATAGCCTCTCTGGTTCTGGGAAGAGAGCTAAGAATGCATTATTAAAAGTATTGGTGTGGTTGCATATTTAGAAAATGCAGTAGGCAAGCAGGATATGACAGAGAAGTCCAGTTTTATCAGCAGACTCCGTTACTGAAAAGTGATTAAATGAAGCAGAGTAGCTATTATAACATCTTTATTAGAGGAGGTCTGGTTGGCAAAGTCAAAGTGACTAATAACCTCGATCTTTTTCAGTCCTTGACCTAGTCTGTAATGAAAGACTTCCTTCTTTTCTCCCACAGCTGTCCCAGAAAATACTTGACAAATTGGAGGACTACCAGCAAAAAGTTGATAAGGCAACACGGGATTTATTATATCGTCGGAACTTGTGATCCGGATGGCCGCCTAGCCTTTGTAACCGCTTGGTGCCTCTTAGGGCTTAAGACTTTCCTCTCCAGGAGTCCTGTCCTCCAGGCTGATTTGTATACCTGTAAATGATGTGTCTGACATTCAAGGCTTCATTCTGCGCAGAAGGAGTGTGCATGAGTCCCAGGACCTGTGCTTGCTGGCGGTGCTAACACACAATTTCCAGTGTCAACCTTGGTCTCAAAACAGCTGCTTTTGTATATGGTTCACAAGCTTTTTTAGAGTTTATATTTTTTTAAACTACCGAAGACATTCTTTATCTGCAAATTAAAAGCCACCTTCACTTTCCGAAATAACTGATGGTTGTTGGTTTGTTGTAGCTGACTACCAAAAGCAGTCACCGCAAATCTTTTCATTCCTCTCTATCACTTTTTGTATTTCAAGGGAATTATTTTGGTCCAGAACTGACATGTATTTTCTGTATTGCAAACAGAGGCTAATGGTTTTACGTACTCTTTTCATTATTTATTGTGGAGTTTTTGTATGATCTTCAATAAAGTATTAAACAGTTTGCCTAGATTAAGCCTAAAATGATAACCAGCTGTCAAAGAAGATATCTTATTTTGAATCTGGTTCTGAGGCTAAAGTTGAGAAAACTCTTAGCTAAGAAAAAAATTAGGAATCTATCTATAAAAGTAATGGATTTTCAAAGTAAATTCTGCTAATTTCTATGATTTATGGTAATCAAGCCGGACTTGATCATACAATATCAAATAAATATCATTATTTGATATTGATCAAATAATGTATTGGACCAAAATATAAACTTCCCTGGTCAGATTCAGAAGCATTCATGGCCACAAATTTGGGGAAAGTGAAAAATAAAATTTTATATTTTATATATTAAATTTTATCTTTTAAGGAACTGATCTGTATACTACTTACTTGTTTGGCCTTTGATCTTTCTTGAGTTTTTCATAAGCCTTTAATTTTTATACTATCAATACATATTTACATTATATATTTTAAATATCAATGTGAGTTTCCTTGTGATACTGGTAGATACTGCAGTGGATGGTCCTTTTTTCATTTTAGCTCTGCCATGATAAGTGTTTGAGGCAATTAGGGACTGGGAGAGCCCTTCGCCTCCTAGCTCTATAAACCCGTGGCTCCCAGCTAGAGCAAGAAATACATTTTGACCTATATACACATTTATAAACAAAAGAAAGTTTTCACAAAAGTATGGATCCTTGCTTACTATGTACCCTGATATTTTCATTTTTGTGAGTGACTGAAGGATCCTAACCCACAGTCTGAAAAATAGCAAACCATGTTGTAGCCATTTCTGGAGAACAGGAAATAATCTGAGACAACCGGCTCTGATGCAAAACCTATCCATTTGTGTTGCTGATCAAAGCAGTGGTTTCCATGGTGGCAGTTCACAAGACACTGACCAGCTTTTCCTGTCCTCACTATGTAGGTTCAGGACATGCTGGACCCAACCCATCTTTTCTGTGCATTTTCTTCCACCTTCCTCACTTTGATTCCCAACCAAAGCAGAACTCTTGGGAGGACAGGGGGCCTGGAGATTGAGTTCAACCACAGTCATAGGGCCGGCCGAGTGGCTCAGTTGATTAAAAGCTCGCCCAAAAGGGCGAGCTCTGAGCAACAGGGTGGCCGGTTCGATTCCTGGCCCAAGCTGAGCTGCCAACAGGTGGCAGGATGGCTCAACTAAAAAAAAAAAAATCACAGTCATAGTCATAGTGGTCAATGCTTTAATTAACCATGCCATGTAATGAAGTCCCAGTAATAACTGGACACCAAGGCCGAAGAGAACTTTCTGGTGGGAGAACACACTGATGTGCTAGGAGGGCAGCAGGCCCTGGCTCCACAGGGAGGTGACCTGGGAGCTGTGCTTCCTCCTAGACCTCACCCTATTTGTATCCTTTCTAATAAAATATAATCATAAATATATTGGGTCGTCAGGAAAGTCATGATGTATTGTTCTATGTTTTTCAATGCAAAAATGCATCATGACTTTCCTGGCAACCCAATAGGACTTTTCTAGTTCTGTGGATGGTTCCAGAGAATTCTCAAGCTTGAAGATGTCATGGGAACCCCTGATTTTATAGTCAGTGAGAAGGGTGATGGCCTGGGGACCTCCTTGGAGCTGGCTTCTAAAGAGCAATTGTTGGGGGCACTGAGCCCTTAAACCTGTGGAGTGTGATGCCAACTGCTGGGAGTTATCGTCAGAACTGAATTGATCAAAGTATGCTCAGTTTGGGGTGAGACAATAAGTGACAAAATTTGGATCCATCAACACACACATATTAAACTTCACTCTACCCTACTGAAGCTGGGACTTTTGTGAACAGTCCACTTCTGCAGGTAAACTATTGAAGTTCCAAAAGTTAGGAATTTAAAATGGATTCAAGAAGGTCAGTTTTGAAATTCACATGAAATACTAAGTAAAGATATCACCCACCAAATAATGATTATAAATAGACTTGAAAATACGTTTAGTTAAATGATTGCTCTTTCCAGGTTTCACTTGTCAAGTGTCAGCCCTGATAATTTGGTTTTACTAAAATAACAGCACCACAAACAAAAAACCCTCAGTAATTCCAGAGATGCTTTAGGCCCCTGGCAATCCAGGATCAGGTCTGATTTTTCTTTAAAGTGTGACTGACCATGCCTACTCATTCTGAGTCTGGACAACTATTATCTGGCTCTTTACGGAACTTTGCCTAGACATAGGCAAAGTTCCGTAAAGAGCCAGATAAATAGTTGGAACTTGGCAGTCTACATATGGTCTCTGGGGTATATTCTCTGTTTCTTTCTTTAACCCTTTAAAAAGTAGGCCTAATTTAGCCATAATTTTCTCATACCTGGTATAGATTCTTAACACCTTCTGTGAGGTCAACAACAGCAAAACATGTCTGAGTAAAGCCAGTGATTCTCAACCCTGGTTAAGCATTAACCTAAGAGCTTTTTATTTTATTTTTTTAATTATTTTTTTAAAGGTATTATTGGGGGAGGGGAACAGCCAAGTTGTTTTCCTTCGATCTTAGTTGTGGAGAGTGCAGCAAGCTCAGCTCAAGGTGCTGTGTTCAATTAGTCGCGGGTGGATGTAGCCATTATCCCATGCGGGAGTTGAACCAGCAGCTTAGTTGTTAAGAGCTCAGGCTGTATCCACTGAGCCATCCAGGCAGCAGCTAAGCACAAGGTGCCAAGTTCAGTCTTTAGTTGAGGGCAGGCATATCCCATCTTGAACAGGCAACCTTGTTGTTAGGAGCATGTGCTCTCACCAGCTGAGTTGGCCCCTCAGTGGCAATTCAGCTCGGGCGCAGCTCACTGGCCCATGTGGGAATCAAACTGGTGAACCTGTTGCTCAGAGCTTGCACTCTTAAGCAAGGTCTTAACCAACTGAGCCACTCGGAAGGCCCCCTAAGAGCTTTTTAAAAACATAATTAAAGGCCAGGTGGCTCAGTTGGTTAGAGCGCGAGCTCTGAGCAGCAGGGTTGCCAGTTCAATTCCCACATGGGCCAGTGAGCTGTGCCCGAGACGAGCTGCCAATAGGTGACCAGATGGCTCAGCTGGTGAGAGCACATGCTCTTAACAACAAGGTTGCTGGTTTGGCTCCCGCATAGGATGGTGAACTGCATCCTCCCTCCCCCTTTCACCCTCCCCCAACTAGATTGAAAGTGGCGACTGGACTTGGAGCTGAGCTTGTGCCCCCCCACAGCTAAGATTGAAGGACAACAACTTGACTTGGAGCTGATGGGTCCTGGAAAAAACACAATGTTCCCCTTCCCCAATTCCCCAACACTGTTCCCTTCCCCAATTTCCCAACACTTCCCTTCCCCAATTCCCCAATAAAACCTTAATAATAATAATAATGATATTAATTAACTGAATAATTAATTCAGTTAATCTGAATTAACTGATTCAGATTCTTACATTGTTTTAATGTGCTCCAGATGGTTCTAGGAACAGCCAGGGTTGAAAACCCTGGTTATAAACATAACAGTCACCATCAGAAATTTAAGTTGACCCCAAAGAAAACAGCCTTTCACATGCATTGTGATGTAGCTCATAATCTCAACTTGGTTCCAGCCAGTTTTATAATAGGATCTGGACTTTTATATAAACAAAAGACTCATTAATAGTAAGAATAGCTACCATATAATGGTTGCTTATTTTGTTCCTGATACAATGCAAAGAGCTTAAAACTATGATCTAACTTAAACTTCACAACAACCCAATGGATACAGGTACTAATATACTTTACAGTTGCAGAAACAAGTTTAGGAATGTTAAGAAACATCCAAGAAATCATACATAGAAGGAGCTGGAGCTGAGAGTTGAATCCAGATGTTTAGCTTCAGAATTCCCATGCACAACTGCTGTATTTCAGTGCGTCTCCTCTCATGAAATTAATCAGGAAATTTCTAATAGCTTCAAAACAGAATTCCCCCCTGCTTCAAGCTATTAATTTTTCAGAAATCTTGGGAGTCTAATCTCAGGACACTCTAATCCAGATATTCCTCCCATAGGCAAGAAAAGGAAAGACTTTTACTATTTATTTCAAGTTTGTATATATTCACACACCATATTCATTCAAAAACTGAGTGCTTATGCCCCAAAGAGTGCATTTCACATACAGGGAACAAAACAGACAAGTCAGTGCTTTCATGGCTCTTGCATTCAACAATCAATTTGAGGGTTCATCTATAAATAGGGGATAATGAGGGCCGACCAAGTGGCTCAGTTGGTTAAGAGCTCGCTCAAGAGTTTGAGCTCTGAGCAACAGCGGTTCGATTTCTGGCCCGAGCTGAGCAGCCGCTGAGCTGCCAACAGGTGGCAGGATGGCTCAGCTTAAAAATAAAATAAAATAAAAAATATAAATAGGGGATAATGATATCTACCCTATAGGGTTGTAGTGAGAATCAAATCCAATTCTACATGTAAAGCGCTTAGACAGTTCCTGACACAGATTAAGTGCTCCATAAATGTTTTAGATATTATTAGTATGCTCTAGTAAGAACCGAGTTAGCAGCCAGGGATATGAAAACAAATACCAATGGATTTCTTCTTAAACTCGATTTAGAAGGGGGAGACGAGTATGAACAGTAGGAACATCAAGTACTGGGAAGGGCTCGGCATGAAGATAGAAGGTTCAGGGAGGTAATGCGTCCACTGGGTCTTGAGGAATTAAAAACAATTCACATGTGGGCTGGCCGAGTGGCGTGTTGGTTAAGAGTTGGCTTGGGACACCACCTCTGAGCAGCAGGACCCCAGTTCGGATCCCACATTAGAGCCAGTGATGCTGTGCCCTCTACAGCTAAGATGGTGAACAACAGCTCCACCTGGAGCTGGGCTGCCGTGAGCCATCATGAGCGGCCCTTCAATTGCCAGCAAGCGACTGCCTCAGCCAGGAAGAGCGCAATGATAATACCAACATGGGCCAGTGAAGCAACGTCCTCCACAACTAGACTGAAGAACAAAAGGACAGCAACTTGTCTGTTCCCCTCCCCCAGTTCCTCAATAAAATCTTTTAAAAAAGAAATTTCACAT